TCTACCACGCTGCACTTCTTGCCCATTGCAGTTGACACAGTCTCGCCAGAGTATAGGGTCCGGAAAGGAGATTAACCCTGACAATTTGCAATGCTTCCGCTCCCCCATAACCCAACTAATGCACATGGGGACCATCGCAGGTCGTTAAAAGTCCTGGGTCGGATGGTTGTCCGCTAGCGGGATTTATTCAGTACGTCTGTAATTGTCCCTGCTTGCTATGTTCTCCAAATGTTTGGTCCAGTTCTTTTTGAATGCGTGGTGGGCAGGGAAGCGGCCGACTGATTCACCACTACGTCCAATCTTGGCATTAGCAAAGGAGGAGTATGGGAACGAATAAGAGAGAGAGAGAAGTACTATCTGCCTATCAGTTTAGAACACTAGCCGCTGCGCGGCTGCTGTCAGTGCCCGAGAAATGAGCCTCAAGGCAGGGAAGAGCGGGAAAAGTGGGTTTCGTTAGCGATCGATGAACGTTCATCAGCGAGTGCCAATATCTCCTGATCTAAATCGGCATGACAGCCAACTCGTGACTCGTTAGACTGTGGTCTAAAGAGGTGAGTCTGGGCGATGCGAGTCTCGGCTACAAGCTAATTAAATCGCAAATAACCACTACTTAGAATTGTAATGTGGCCGCCGCGAATGTGGCCTGCCACTTGTTTGTACCTTTTTATTTAACACGATTGGCGCCTGTCGTCCGCCTTCAAACTGAACTCATATTCTATGGTGGACCGGTTTTGGGACTTCGGTCTGGCCGCTGGGTCACATATATTTTTTGGCATCCTCAGGAAGCTCGGCCTTTCGCAAACCAGGCTAGTAATAACAGAAGTTGAGTTTGGCCTCCGACAAATTCTCCTTTTACTGAACCGGATAGCCAGTTTGCTTGAGCATTCTTAAGGGCAATACTATCTGCCCACTTCCACCTGTTACGACTGCTAGAGCCTCTACTGAGGACGGAGGCAGAGCGGGACTGATGAGTTCCGTTAGTGGTCAGGTGAACATGCATCAACGAATGTCAATATCCCCTGACCTAAGCCGGCAAGACAACGAATTCGTGGCTAAATGGTTAGGGCGTTAGACGCTGATCAAAACGGTCGCCATTTCGAGGCTCGGGTGGGACACAGCTTTGGTCTAAGGAACCGGGCCTCGAAGGTCGTAAGTGTTAGAGTTAACCATCTTAGCCTTTACACCTATGTATATAGCCATTGACAATCGCTGACGAACGGTCACCGACTGCTAACGGAACTCCCTTGACCCGCTCCGCGTTTGCCTTGGGCCTTATTTTTCTCATTTCTCATTTCACTTGAGTCTGAGTATGACTAGATGACGACGGCTTATGGGCCAGAAATGGCCATTCCAGTCTCTCCTGTCTTTTTCGGCAATATATAGCTATATACTATATGGCTATATACTAGCTATACTATATACTATACTAGTTATACTATATACTAGCTGCTATGGCTGCTGTCAAGGCGCGAGAAATGAGGCCCAAAGCAAAGGCGGGCGCGAGAAGTGAGTTCTGTTGGCGCTCTGTGAAAGTGCATCACGGAATGTGTTTACACAAGGTTTCCAGAAAATAGTAATCAGCTGTCTTGGTTTTTCCCCAAACGCAGTTCAGACGATTTTGTGAACTGCATTGAACAAATGACGTCTCGCATTACCATCTGCCTAGGGGAGCCTGATAGTCTTGCGTCGTGGTCTTGCCGCCCGATATGAATGCTATGCCAACTTACGTATAGGAGAGTGCTTATGTGTGTGTACCGTCTGCTTTGAGTTTGCAGTGGAAATACCCTGTGACGAAGTTCCCGATCCGTCCATGTCTATCTCAACTCATCCTGCTATGGAGAGATGGTGCAAAAGACCACTGCACTCATCTACGGCGAGAAGTCGAGGCGATGCAGGTCTCAACTACAAGCCACCTAGATTGCGAATAACCACTGCCCAGAATTGTAATAAGGTCCTGGTGCGCCGCGAATGTTGGCATTTTTGTGTTTACCATATTTGTTGCTTGGCGCCAAACTTCAAACTGAACTCATATTCTATGGTTGACTGGTTGAAGGATTTCGGTATGACC